AAATATTTCTAACTAGATATAATCATAAAATTTACTGCTGTAAAAGCAGTTCGAAATAAACATATCTTAACAAAAACTTTATTTTACAAACAAGTATTTGGTAAGTATACTCAAATAGTAATTATAATAAATATTTTTTAATATATATATATATATATATATATATATATATATATACACACACACGCACGCACGCGCACATGACATTTACATTTATTTTTATTTTCAGAAATTTTTGTTAACCGGAATAAAAACAGAACAATGCCGCAAACTATTAATGAGAAATCATTCAAATAAGGCTCTTGGAGATGTCATTTGTAATATCAAAGATTGGAATAATAAACGCAAAATTATAAAACCAAGTGTCATTGACGAGGAAGAAAATTAAAATAAGAAAAGAAGATGCAATACTAATTATACAAATGACAACGTAAAGAATGAAGACGACGAGAAAAATGAATAATTATGAATGTTACAAATGTTAAGAATAAATATTATAAATATTAAAAAATGTTATAAATTTAATAAACGTTATTAACAAAAATGTTACAAATATCCTTGTTACATATAAATTATGATAAATGTTATAGAAAAACTAATTAGAAACTGATTATATTTAATTTTTTATTTTAATTATTATTTATTACTTATTTCATTATTTTACTTTTATTATTTATCTATTTTGTGTTTATTATTCTAGTATTTTACATTACAAACATGTCTAAGAGCTTTATTGAATAATTTTTTATTAATATTTTGCGACATTGTTCCGCGCGCAGATTGTTTGACAAAGAAATAAGCGTCCAGTTAAGTTAGCATTTATACTGATATATCTGTTTAGCTCATCTAGTTTCAGGCTAGTTTTTGGCTTGAAAATAAGATCTACGATGTGCCGCGTTTTGACTAACCAGAAACTAGCTAACATTTATTAATCAATTTAGCACGATTACTTTCTAGCTATTTTTTTTTTTTGCTAGGAAATAAGAACTAGGATCTATTAAGTTTTGGCTGACCAGAAAATAGCTATCATTTACTACTCTGTTTAGCTCAGCTAGTTTCTGGCTATTTTCAGACTAGGAAATGAGAACTAGTATACGTAAAGTTTTGAATGACCAGAAACTAACTAACATTTACTGATCTGTTTAGCTCGGTTAGCTTCTGGGTAGTTATCAATTAGATTTTTCCGAAAGTAATTTTTTAATCAATTACTAGACAGTAACTATCTAGTAAAGCCTAGCCAGTAAAAACTGACTAGTTTCTAAATAGTAATCAGTTTTTCCCAAAAATATTTCTACTCGGGTAGTTAATTAGTCAGTCGTTACATTTCCATTTCTCTATTGTTTAACTTTTTTTTCCATTGTAAAGCACTTTCACTACTTTACAAGTAAATTCGCAATCTATTTTTACTTTAAAATTCGGGGAAATATCTTACGATATATAAATACGAATGTCAATCATTTTCATTGTCATGTTTGACGTCAATCATTTTCATTTTCATTTTAATTTACTTATCTGTACAGTTATCATGAAAATAAAGAAAATATTAAAAATATTTGTTATACTACTATGTACTTATGTATACTTGTTACGACTACGTGACTATAGTCATGTTATTGCAATGATAGTAACTGCGAAGTATTAAAACAATTATTATTGTATAATACTTTAATGCCCGAGTAATAAATAATGCGATAATGTAATCGCTGTGACATATTTGTAGCCTGCTTACTGCTTCACGAACTAATCATATCTCGAGTTAATAAAAACATCTATAAGATATCGAACAAAACTTGTTATTGGTTCATTTCTATTGCAAGTAGAATGTTATGTAACAATCTATTCTTATCTCTATTAGTATGAAATATGTGCAATATCTGTTTATTGCTACGATCTTGATTGATATATTAGTTAACCACTTAAACTCAATAAACACCGTTTATTAAAATAAACATAGTTTCTCAATAAACTGAGAAACTTAAAAAAATTGACTTATTGCAGCCGCGGTATTTCAGAAAGCGTGAATGTTTATTGTTTACTTTTTACATAAAAAATAACAATTTCATGAAATTGCAGATATATATTCCAATCATATCTCATATAAAAAGAAGTCATGCTTTCACGTGTGCTATAAACAAAAAAATTGGTAAGAAGTATATTAGAATATTCTCAATACATATCCGGAGAATGATACAAATGTTTTGTCCGAAACATGTCCGTCAAAGACATTAAAACCTTCAAGGATAGATTAAACTTTCACTTTTATGAACACTACATTCCTCGTGCGATAACAATAAATAATCAATTATAATTATTACTAACCAATTTGGACAACACTAGTTTTGCTTAGATAATAAAACTTGTTAGTTTATTGCCAATTTGTAACTAATTTTTTTATTCTTTTTAATTAGCTTATGACTAGTTTCTGAGCAGTTGCTGGTCAGTTTCTAAACATTTTTGGACAAGTTTCTAATCGCTTTTCTTAATCAATTTCTAACCACACACACACATACTTTTATACTTACTCAACACGTCAAGCTGTGGTAACCACTTCTTGGTCATAACGTTGTCTAGTTTACGTGACAAAACGTCACTTTCCCATTTCCAAATCACTTTTCGCGGAATGGAGCTGAGCACGTCGAATATCGCGTCCAGATTTTTCTGCGGCATCGTCGACATCTTAATCATAGAGCCTAGATTAAAATAAAGTACTCCTTCGTGCGCGTTATCCAGAAATTCGGCTATATCTTTAGGCAATGGATTCACTCGAGGTGAAATGTGAAGGCCACCGATCTCTACGACGTTTGGTAATAAAGGCACACTGCCGTGGAGACTGCTGTGGGTATTCAGCAATATTGCCTGCACTTGCTTCGAGATCTTTCTCAAGTCAGGAAGATCTGGCCCAAACACCTCATTGGCGATCGATTGATCGTGAAATCGGAACCAATATTCGTAGGCTAATTTGGTCAACAATAATACTACCGTGTTCAACAGTCTGTTGATTAAATTTATAGGCCTGCTTAGTCCCAAAAATACATTCGGAATGTAACTAGGATTGTCTTCGTTGCCGATGTCCTTGTTTATCCATGGCATAATCTGATGCGACGATAGACTAATGTAAGGCGTCTTGAATCTATGAACGAAACCTAAGAAGCAATCGGTGTTGAAGGCCTCCGTGATGATCAAGTTGAACTTTTCATCGGACCGGAGGAATTCTTTGATAGCCGGATGGTTTAAACCGACCTTGCACGCTGTATTAGCCATGAATCTTAACATTATGAGTTCATATAGCGGACGAAAGACATTGTGCTTGATCATATGAAGATCGATGATATTCACGTAGTTAATTGCGGGGTCGCATATGCTGATATCTTTATAAGTCGGCAGTGACTCTTTCGCCTTGGCACTCTCACTTCTAGGGAAATATGATATGACCGTGACCTGGTGACCTCGGCGCGCTAGTTCCTCTAGGAGCGGCTTGAATACATCGAAGTGGCTCTTGCCGAAGTGGCCAAAGATCCCGAGTATTTTTAGTGGTAACCTAGTCGTGTTGACGAACGTCGTGTTGAAGACACGAACATTGTTGGTGGCCGAACACGGTGATGACGAGAATACCACAACGACGAGGAAGAGGAATACTGTAGACAAATATACTCCACAACGATGCATATTGCGATAGCGTGTCACGGTAACTACTTCGCTATGGTGAACGAAAGGCGGGATATAGGTTGATAAATTCACTGAACAACAATCCTCGACCCTCGCCACGAGTCTTCGCCAACGAACTGGCAGTCAATTAACCAGCCGACTGCTTCGATGCTACACGATGATAACTATTAACATACGGCACGGTATGCCAGAGGTAGGGATTCGTATATGTATATATATATATATATCTATGTTAGTGTCTCTCAACGTCAATACTTCACGGACTTAGTCACATGTTCTTGCATGAGATAGCACATATAGACATATAGCATCCGTCGCGATTTATCCTTATACATTACGTATTTCTGTATGATTATTATCAATACGTACGTAAGCTAATGTGGAAAACATTATTAACATCAAGAAAATACCAATTCATTCTTGAAATAACTCGTACGATTTCGCTGAATAGTGTAGTAAATAACAGCCAGCTGCTCATTTGCATCCACGACCCTTATAGAAATATCATACTAAGAATCATTGATAATTACTTATTTTCAATATTAAAAATACTGGATAATAAGTAATTATCAATGATTCTTAGTATGATATTTCTATAAGGGGAGCACATTCGAAAAATTTTACGATATTTATCGTTATCTGAATACATTGAAAAATACATTGAAAAAATTATTTTTCTTATTACTATTAGAATGTTATATAGGATTGCTATAGAATGAGTAAGGATTGTTAAAATACTGATTGGATTCTGACTGTTAGAAATATTGATAATAATTATTATAAATTAACCTGTGACGTGGAAAAGAGAAAAATAACCTTGAAGAAAAAATAATTAGCCAATATAATCAGCAAACAGTAAAGGAATTATATCAGTCGTAAATATATATTTCTCGCTTGACATCTCTGACGATCTGTTTTTTCTTTCTCTTTATTTATACTTTACTGATGAAAATACAGCCGAAAATAATCGTACAAAATGAAGCATCAATCAATACCATACTTGTTATTACGCGCTTAGTGTGACAAAAAGCTCGAAGAAACTCGAAGATCTTCATTTGTGTTACGCAAGAGACGAAGTCTCGACTTACGTAATAATTATGACGCGGAATCAAAATTGAGATAACTCCATGTTCTTGAAGTGCCACAACGATGAAATAGATAAATGACAATAGAATTATTGATATGGCTGTGTAGCATACAGTTAATGTTTTCGTATATTTTATTACGCATAATTATAATTCATCACGTGGCACAAAAAGAATCGTTGAAAACATGCCGATATTCAAATCATTCAATCACTCAATCAGATAAAAATCCATATGTTCAAACGAATTGAGAACTTAAATTATCACGAATTAACATATGGTGCAGTAATCTTTTATACAAACATTCATAAGATGAAAATATGGCGTTTTACATATATCTAGTTACAGGTAATAATATGAAGCGTGTAATACTACAATCTTTCGAAAGTATCTAACTGAAACTGTGTCATGAAACTATTCTTATTGAAGATAAGTCTACTTTGTCTTCTCTGTCTGTCTCTCTCTCTAAAATATATAGTAGTCAGGAGTGCATAAGGAAAATACTGAAAAGAAACACTATACTGAAATGGGACTTAGATAAAACGTTACTAAAACAAGTAAAAAAAATAAAGTATCTCTAAATATCTGTAAGTAAGTATAAAGGTACAATTATAGATATGATAAATTATAATTGAAAAATCATATATCAAAGATGTATATATAAATATATACTAAATAGATAGAATAGATGTATATATAAATATATACTAAATAGATAGAATAAGAAAATAAGGAAAAAGACGAGTTCTTTAAATAGGATAGATAATAACATATCGGTATTTAGATGCATAGTGTACAAATCAATCAAATCGGCTCTCTTCGAGTGCGACTTTGCTAATTAGTATGGGTGAAACACAACTGAATAAGCTGTGTAACAAGTACCAGGCCATGAGAGTCATGAGATGCATATTACAATGCAGCAGACATATTAAAGTGAAATATATGCATGCGCTGCAATTCATATGTATAAAGCAAAAACTGTATTATAACGTTTGTACATTTATTTTTAAGATAGTAAAGAATTTACTACCAGATAAGTTAAAAAATAAGTTAAAAAGTAAAAGATAGTAGGTGATATAAGTGGAAGACGAACAAAACAGGCTGATAATATTGTAATACAATTTCGTCGGACAAAAGAGTCGCACAAAGTGCGCAAAAGAGTTTATTTTATAAAAGAATAAAAATGTATAACGCATTACTCCAATAGAAACAAAATATAGTGGAAGACCTAATAAATTTAAGCGAATGCTAAAGCAACATATTTTAGGTTTAAATAACTAAATGATAATTTGTTAAATAAATAGCTGAGAAAGATCAATTAATCAATCTTTCTCTTCTTCTTCCTTATCTTTTTTCTTTTTTCTATTCCTCCCTTTCCTTCTCTGATCCATTAACGAGAATATTTTCTAAAGTTTTAAATATCAAGAAAGAATAACTACTTCGAACTCATGGCATAAAGTCATATTTTCCGTTATTAAATTTTCTCTTGCCTATTAATATCACGTGTAACATTGACTCTCTCAAAATATGACAGTTACTATTGACATTTACTATTTAATGACTTTGCGTTATCTATTCTTTATATAAAAGGTTGGAGAATATATATATATATATATATATATATATATATATATATATACATGTATATATATATATATATATATATATATATATATATATATATTCTCCAACCTTTTATATAAAGAATAGATAACGCAAAGTCATTAAATAGTAAATGTCAATAGTAACTGTCATATTTTGAGAGAGTCAATGTTACACGTGATATTAATAGGCAAGAGAAAATTTAATAACGGAAAATATGACTTTATGCCATGAGTTCGAAGTAGTTATTCTTTCTTGATATTTAAAACTTTAGAAAATATTCTCGTTAATGGATCAGAGAAGGAAAGGGAGGAATAGAAAAAAGAAAAAAGATAAGGAAGAAGAAGAGAAAGATTGATTAATTGATCTTTCTCAGCTATTTATTTAACAAATTATCATTTAGTTATTTAAACCTAAAATATGTTGCTTTAGCATTCGCTTAAATTTATTAGGTCTTCCACTATATTTTGTTTCTATTGGAGTAATGCGTTATACATTTTTATTCTTTTATAAAATAAACTCTTTTGCGCACTTTGTGCGACTCTTTTGTCCGACGAAATTGTATTACAATATTATCAGCCTGTTTTGTTCGTCTTCCACTTATATCACCTACTATCTTTTACTTTTTAACTTATTTTTTAACTTATCTGGTAGTAAATTCTTTACTATCTTAAAAATAAATGTACAAACGTTATAATACAGTTTTTGCTTTATACATATGAATTGCAGCGCATGCATATATTTCACTTTAATATGTCTGCTGCATTGTAATATGCATCTCATGACTCTCATGGCCTGGTACTTGTTACACAGCTTATTCAGTTGTGTTTCACCCATACTAATTAGCAAAGTCGCACTCGAAGAGAGCCGATTTGATTGATTTGTACACTATGCATCTAAATACCGATATGTTATTATCTATCCTATT